GCACTAGAGGCGGTTTAGCCAATCACAACACACTGGGCTAGCTAACCAATCAGAGCCCATCACCTATTTCTGAGGGAGGGGCTTCATAAAAGAAGGAAATTGATCAGCGCGTTTCTCAGAGAAGGGACAGAGCGGTGTGGAATAAAGGTAAATTATGTGAAAAATAATGCGTTTTTTAAAAAACGAAGCATTAACACATGTTAGACTGCACCCCATAAACACAATCAAGCCTAGAGAAAAAAACACTGAATCACCCCTTTAATGGTTAAAATGAATTGTTTATTCATAAAATGAATAAATAATGTTAAAATACTAATATTATTATATACAACCTTATTGTAAAGTGTTACCGTACACTCTATAAAGCACATACAACCTGTGTAGTCTGGTGTGTAAGTTCATCTGAGAAAGAAAATTAGGACAAGACAAGAAAATCATTAACCGTTAAGACAGAAAGACATTCTAGAAATTATGCAGCATTGTGGGATAATCTATTTCTGAGATATTTATATACTAAATGACATAATGCCTGCAGGTAAAATCTCTGTACCAGAGGAATAATGGTGGAGGTGTCTTTCTCACTGCTGATCTGAAATCAATGTGTTTCAGAGGCTCCCTGCCAATCAGAGATCGCCATCATCCACAAACAGCAAGCAGGGAAGAAATTACTGGGTGAGTTCATTTTCTTGTGCATTTTGTTTATTTGTGTAATTTCCGCATGGACAAAGTGGTTTTTGTTTGTAATGCAAGATCATGTGGGCCTTGGGTGTCTGGCCATATTGAGATCATTAGCATTGACTGATAATCATTTCCACTTGGCTGAATAACAGAAGTTCCAAAATCTACCAGCAGGCTTCTCAAAGGAGAATGCACATCAAATAAATAAATAAATAAACAGACATCTCTAAGAACAATTCTTTTCATTAAACACTATTGTTCAACTTCTATTCAGTAAGGATGCATTAGATTTATCACAATTGACAGTAAAAAAAAAATCAATTTCAAATAAATGTTGTTCTTTTGAACTTTGTATATTTATCAAAGAATCCTGAAAACGGTATTTCCACAAAAATAAGCAGCAAAATAAGCAGCATGTTTTTAACATTGATAAAGATAAATGTTTCTTGAGCAGCAAATCAGCATATTAGAAAGATTTCTGAAGGATCATGTGACACTGAAGCCTGGAGTAATGATGCTGAAAATTCAGCTTTCCATCACAGGAATAAATCGCATTTTACAATATATATAAAACAGTAAAGTTTTAAACTGTAATAATATTTCACAATGTTAGTGGGTTTTACTGTATTTTTTATTAAATACATGGAGCCTTCGTGAGCATAAGACACTTCTCACCTGAAACCACACTGAATATAGGATAAGTTAGTCCAATTTTACAATTTGTATTTATATGCAGGAATTTCATGGGTATTTTTATTATCTATATTAGCTAATTAATGCAACAGTATTACATGTGTATATATATATATGTGTGTGTGTGTGTGTGTGTATATATATATATATATATATATATATATATGTGTGTGTATATATATTATATATATATGTACACATTCATTTCTTACCCAAAACACACAAAATGAACTCTTTCAATAAAAATCCATTCAGTAGTCTACATCATATTTTTAAATGATTTTGAAACATACTTTGAAAGAACCAAATAGCAATCCCATGATGCACAGCATCACTATACTAAAAAAATTGTCATTGTCATTTACACCTGACTAGACAAACTGATGTGTAACACACAAAATGCAGTAATTAAACATCTAATCTGTTACCCAAACATCCTAAACAATAACACTCTATGAGCATCAGCTATAAACACCAGACTTGCAAAGTAACCCATTTTTTACACCATGTTCATATAGGAAGCACCAGAATTTAATAACCATCTCAATGTCATCACAATCTGAACACAGTTACAGTACAAGCAAGGTGTCAAACAGAGGGAAGCCAACGTTAATTCTATTAAAGCTAGAACTCACTCAGAGTTTCTTTCCCTCTCTCTGAAGGTTGCGTGTTTAATTTGAGCAGGGGAATGAGATGAGGGGAAATTGGACATGAAAAGATATTTTTAACTGCTGTTTCTCCCCTGAGTGGAATGCACAGTGACGGCTCTATGGCTTCTGGCACTGAATTATAAAAAGACAACAACAACAAAAAAAGACAGAATGATTTTTTTTTAAAAAGCTTGACTATGGCGATTCTGTAGAAAGAAGCTGTGAAGTTGAAACACAATGAATGTGTGTGAGAGACACAGAGAGAGAGAGAGCAAGCTCTCGGAGGTGACAGTTATGTTCTCTGACATTGAATATTCTGTATCATCCCTATCTGTGTGAGTGTGGCTGTGAGACACTCTCTGTGGCTGTGTATAATCTTGTCTGTGATGTAATGTTTCCTGACATTAGGATTGATGCTGATTGATGGTGTGTGTGTGTGTGTGTAGGTCCGTACATCCCCTCCTGTGATGAGGATGGCTTCTATAGGCCTCAGCAGTGTCATAGAAGCAGAGGTCAGTGCTGGTGTGTGGATCTCAATGGAAATGAGATCGCGGGGTCTCATACCCACGGGTCTGCTGACTGTGGTAAGAGGGCTGCATCCTACATTACCTCAGATCTTTTGATTCATTATCTAGTAAAAGAAAAAAGTAAAATAAGTAATGCATTTAATCTGTACAATGTAGGGATGCAATGACATGGAACTTGTGTTGATGTGATAACTTTCAACTGGAATGGCTATTTAAGTAGCTAAGAAACTAAAAAGTTGATACAAAATAGATCTCAATTTTAAAAAAAATCATACAAGTATTGTATATTTAAAGTACTGCAGGTATTTTGAAACCATAGCAAATATTTGTGAAATCACTTGGATTCGCTGAGTATTAGTTCTTTTGTTTAATAATGAGTCCTTGGATTTTGTGACTTTGAACTGTTTTTAACTTGACAAAAAAAGTGGTGCATGGCGTGAGATGCTGAAAAAAAACAGTGAGATGTGGCACAACAGCCAAAGAAGTCTATCTGACCTCAATTACGCATATTAAACGAAAGAATGTCTTGTGTGAATGTGTCTTTTGATTAAAATGAGCGTGTAAAGCTTGAAATAATCCATGACGTGCTAACATGACTAAAAACACTGCATGATTCCAGGTCAAATTTACGCTGTGTACGAGTACAATCTTCGACATTTGACATTAGTTCTGCACTACCATTTAAAAGTTTGGGGTCAGTAAGATTATTGTGAAATATTATTACAATTTAAAATAACTTGTTTTCCATTTTAATACTTTAAAATGTAATTTATTCCCGTGATGGAAAGCTGCATTTTCAGCATCATTACTCCAGTCTTCAGTGTCACATGATCCTTCAGAAATTATTATAATATGATGATGTGCTGCTCAAAAACATTTCTGATTATTATTATCAATGTTGAAAACAGTTGTGCTGCTTCATATTTTTGAGGATACATACTTTCCAGAATTCTTTGATAAATAGAACATTCAAAAGAACATTTACTTAAAATAGAAATCTTCTGTAACATTATAAATGTCTTTATTGTCACATTTCATTAATTAAATGCATCCTTTCTAAATAAAAGTATCTCTTAAAAAAAAAAAAAAACGTACCCCAAACTTTCAACTCAAGAAAAACAGCAAAGAGATGTGTTACTCTTAACAGCTAAAAGTCAAATAATCAAAACGGCTACCTTTTTTCTTTCAGCTGTGGAGTCTTCTGGAGATTTTGGCAGCGGTGACGCTCTGCTCTCAGATGATGAAGATGGGGATGTTGTAAATGATGAAGAGGAGATGGGAGATGATGATGATGAATATGAACAAGTTGATGATGAGTATGGGTACCTGTCATAATCCGTTTTCCGCTGTCTTTTTTAAAAATAATTATTTTACGACATTTAAAAACAAGGAACCAAATAAAAACACAGACTTTCATTTGGTCGTAAAGCACGTTTCTAGGTGGCCTCAGCAGAGTGCAGTACTAACATTACTAAAGAGTTCATCTACCCCTGTGCTGTATAACATTTGAGCAAAATTAATACCAGTACTCAATAACCACGTTTCATTTTTATTACATTTCTTATATTCATCCAAAGTGAATAAGTATATTGACAGATCTAGAAGTTTAGGAATTCATAAGCGGGTTTGATGAGAGATTATTGAGGGTTAAATGTTTGCACTTATAAACATGCACACAACACATACACGTGCGAAATACATGTGAACACACCTGATATCATGATGACTTTACACCTTCTAGAATGTGATTTTGCAGTCATGCTATGAGGGGTTAACGTCGATATTCATGTCTCATTACGGTTTGCCATAAATTACATACCTACATAGATTTTTTTTTGTTTAATCAGTAGAATGATAATTAGAATTACAGATAAACTATTAACATGTACCAGTATTTGTATGTAAGGATGGACATTCTAGAACAAACCTGTTTGAAATGGTTAAGACACGGCCTTTAGTGACCACACGTCAGACACACAATAAAACAGATGTGACTGCAGTTAAGAGAGGACAGAGTCATGCTATTTAGAGACTTAAACACACACACATGCACACTCACACACACTTATCTTTGGCAGTCTTTGGGCATGAGGTGCCTTTGATGCAACACGGAGGAGCAGGTGGAAAAGAGGTCTGGGGAAAAAAAGAGAGAAGGAGATATTTAGTGTTAGAATGTAGAACTTGACTGCCATATGAATCAAAAAAAAGTTTTTTTTTGCGTCACGTTCTCTGTTGTTTTGGTCTATAGGAGAAAGTGAACATGATTAGTTAGTTTGCATATGTTACTGTAGACAACAAATCATACGATAGATGCTGCTGCTGTCATTTATTCTCCTCGTCACTCTCAGCGCTTTTGCATTTTCTGTCAGATTTGTTTTCATAATGTGCATATGAAAATATAAATTTCCTTCTATGGACATTGTGGTGTTTTCTGAAAAAAATAATAAAAAAGGTAATTTGGTCGAATGAGTTTATGATCATCAGTTGCAGAGGTCAAAGGAACCACCTTTATCAGTGTTGTCCAGCTGTTGTCATAGAGATAACACATTTTGGTTTGTTTGTTTTTTTACAGTATACATATAATTTGCTCAAATAAAGTTACACAGACCAAAACAGAGTTTTTGGTATAGTAATTCTGTGTGTGTGTGTGTGTGTGTGTCTGTGTGTGTGTGTGTGTGTACATGTTTTTCTATCCTAATGGGGACTTAAACCTGAATACACACCAACTCATGGGGACCTCAATTTAGGTCCCCACAGGGAAACAAGCTTATAAATCATACAGAATGAAGTTTTTTCTAAAAATGCAGAGTTTTCTGTGAGGGGTAGGTTTAGGTGTAGGGCGATAGAAAATACGGTTTATACAGAAAAACCATTACGCCTATGGAGAGTCCCCACAAGCATAGTAAACCAGACGTGTGTGTGCATGTGTTTGTGTTTGTGTTTGTGTGTGTGCGCGTTTTTGTGACAAATGAGGACATAAATTTGTATAATGACAAAGGTATGACATAGGTATTACAAGGAGAAGGTGACTTTTCAGGACATTACCCCATGTCCCCACTTTTCAAAACGCTTATAAATCACACAGAATGGAGTGTATTGAAAATCTGAAATAGCACAAAGTTTCCTGTAAGGGGTAGGTTTAGGGGTAGGGTTGGTGTAGGGCAATAGAATATACGGTCTGTACAGTATAAAAACCATTACGCCTATGGGATGTCCCCACTTTTCACAAAAACAAACCTGTGTGTGTGTGTGTGTGTGTTAGAGATGGAGAGAGAGAAATCCGATGTGTCTAGTCTGGTTAGTGCTGCATTATGTATAAATGCAATTTTAATATTTTATATGCCACAATTTCTCATCTGTACACACACACGTAAACTGGGGCATCTGTGACGCTGAACACTTGTTTAATCATTAAAACACAATCATGTGCCTGTCAACTAATGTGTGTATGTGTGTGTGTCTGGATCACGAATACACTGTAGTCCTGTTGGATAATTTAATCTCTCTTGCTGAATTAAAATACATATCCAAAATTAAATTAAAATATGATGCAAAGAGGAATCAATGGTTTGGAAACTACTAGAACACGTACTAAATATGTTTTGCATATCGTACTGTGCATGTGGGTAATGAAAGGCTGTGTAAGTGTGTGTCTGCCCACAGCTCTGTACAAGGAACCAACTGGATAAACACAAAGCGTTTTCATTCAACAGCTTTTCCCCTTCCTGAAAGAAAATCACACTACTGCTGGCTTTGGATTGAAGTCACACACACACACACAAAGCAAACACAAAGCATCCAGAATGCAAACATAGTTAGGTTTGAATGCAAAGAGAGCGTACAGTACAGCTAAATGTACACAAACACAAAAAAATAACAAAAGTATGAATTTCTATGAATATACATAAGACACAAACTATTATTACAGGTGATAGTGATCATCAGTTTTATCATGTTTTCAAGATTACCAGATCAGTTTTCCTCAATCTCACAGAGACAGGGGCTTCAGATTGAAATTCTCTTACATAATCAGCCAAAATTAGAAAAAGTTCAGCCTGAAACCACTTAAAATACAAAACAACATGAGGACCTATTTAATTTCCCTGGAACACACAAGGCTGTGATCTAAATGAATGTTTCACTGCGGTTCAGGCTCAGATGAGGAGAACCCTACATTTAGGAAACGATAGCACCAAATCAAACCATTGCAGAATATCTTTAAAACTTTTAGATTATATATTGTGTAGTTCAGGGAATGGTTCACCTAAAAATGGAAAAATCTCTACTTACTCAACATCATGTTGTTTCAAACCTGCATGCTATTATTTTTCCTCATCAAAACCGAAAGTAGAATGGTCTACATTGTATACCTTACAACTTATAAACATATATTTTCTTTACTGATATAATGTGAATACACCAAACTATATCAAGATCTGCTTTTTACCTTAAAATGTACTGTTAACCACCATAATAATACAATAGAAAGCCACATGATGATTCAGAGTTCATTCTGGGTGGCCTGTCCATAAAACATGGACAATATATATACTGTACACAGTGAATCGAATCAAACACTATCAGGATAGCACACGACACTGAAATAATGCAATAAACATTCACTAAATAGCAAAGTATAGCAAAACATTAATGTACATTACTGATAACAAAAATAATAAGTAACAAAACTATTTAAAGAAAATATAATCACATGCAGGGACTGGAAATGGAAATGTCCCTTTACTCTTTTCACTGTAAATTATATGGTAATTGACCATTTGTATTGCTAAAATCATTAATTTGACAGTATTTTGCAGTACAATTACATATAATACATTAAACCAATGTCATTCCATTTAATTTTGTCACTGTATATGGTATCTTTAGTGTTTTCACTGTAAATTATATGGTAATTGACCGTTTGTATTTGCTAAATATCATATCAATATCATAAATTTGACAGTATTTTACAGTAAAATGACATACATTAAACCAATGTTAAACAATTAAAAAAATGTTTACAGTAGGGGTCGTCAAGTCTCCAAAGGTACAAAACAAATTCCCTTTATTTTATCCCTATTTCCCTATATGACTTGTGTGTTATATTATAAGATTCATAAAATATTACTTCACAGAATCTACACGGATGGAGGTTAGATGTGAGCTTTGTTAGAAGTGAAGATTATCAGTGAATACAGTATGTTCTTCGATCAAAACTTACGTATAACTTTACTTGTTTCTACTTGTTTTTGAGTTTTCAGTTTTCATTGTATGGCAAAAGCTGTTTCTGTACATATGTACTTTTGTGTTCCACAGAAAAAACAACAGCTAAGAAGTTAGAATGTTTTAGGGTTAAAAAAAAGAAGAAGAAATACATTTTGGGTGAACTATTCCTTTAAGACTCTTACAAATATTTTGTTGTTAAACCAAGTAGTCCTTTTCACAGGTCCAGACAGGTTGAAATAGCTCCTTAATTGCACATTTGAACTATTTACTGTGTATTCAGATCAATATCAATGTAAAGTATTTGGTTTTACCTACTGAGCCTGAGTTGTTGGCTAACTAACGGAGCACTGTAGAACACTCCTGCTGGAAACTTTATCTTCGTTTGTATTTGCTAAATATCATATCAATATCATAAATTTGACAGTATTTTACAGTAAAATGACATACATTAAACCAATGTTAAACAATTAAAAAAATGTTTACAGTAGGGGTCGTCAAGTCTCCAAAGGTACAAAACAAATTCCCTTTATTTTATCCCTATTTCCCTATATGACTTGTGTGTTATATTATAAGATTCATAAAATATTACTTCACAGAATCTACACGGATGGAGGTTAGATGTGAGCTTTGTTAGAAGTGAAGATTATCAGTGAATACAGTATGTTCTTCGATCAAAACTTACGTATAACTTTACTTGTTTCTACTTGTTTTTGAGTTTTCAGTTTTCATTGTATGGCAAAAGCTGTTTCTGTACATATGTACTTTTGTGTTCCACAGAAAAAACAACAGCTAAGAAGTTAGAATGTTTTAGGGTTAAAAAAAAGAAGAAGAAATACATTTTGGGTGAACTATTCCTTTGACTCTTAAAAA